GGGTTAACCCATTTTTTTATAAACATAGCAGTTTCAGAGAAACTGCTATGTTTATAAATGGGTTAATCCAGCCCTCAAATCCTCTAGTGGCTGTCTCATGGACAGCCGCTAGAGGCGCTTGCATGATTCTCACTGTGAAAATCACAGTGAGAACACGCAAGCGTCCATAGGAAAGCATGGTCTCCTGAGGGATCTCCTCCCAGACCTGGACTAAAGCATCTGCCAACTCCTGGACAGTCTGTGGTGCAATGTGACTTTGGTGGATGGAGCGAGACATGATGTCCCAGATATGCTCAATTGGATTCAGATCTGGGGAACAGGCAGTCCATAGCATCAATGCCTTTGTCTTGCAGGAACTGGTGACACACTCCAGCCACATGAGGTCTAGCATTGTCTTGCATTAGGAGGAACCCAGGGCCAACCACACCAGCATATGGTCTCATAAGGGGTCTGAGGATCTCATCTTGGTACCTAATGGCAGTCAGGCTACCTCTGGTGAGCACATGGAGGGCTGTGCGGCCCCCCAAAGAAATGCCAACCCACACCATTATTGACCCACTGCCAAACTGGTCATGCTGGAGGATGTTGCAGGCAGCAGAATGTTCTCCACGGCGTCTCCAGACTCTGTCACGTCTGTCACATGTGCTCAGTGTGAACCTGCTTTCATCTGTGAAGAGCACAGGGCGCCAGTGGCGAATTTGCCAATCTTGCTGTTCCCTGGCAAATGCCAAACGTCCTGTACGGTGTTGGGCTGTAAGCACAACCCCCACCTGTGGATGTCGGGCCCTTATACCACCCTCATGGAGTCAATTTCTGACTGTTTGAGCAGACACATGCCACATTTGTGGCCTGCGGAGGTCATTTTGCAGGGCTCTGGCAGTGCTCCTCCTGTTCCTCCTTGCACAAAGGCGGAGGTAGCGGTCCTGCTGCTGGGTTGTTGCCCTCCTACGCCCTCCTCCACGTCTCCTAAAGTAATGGCCTGTCTCCTGGTAGCGCCTCCATGCTCTGGACACTACGCTGACAGACACAGCAAACCTTCTTGCCACAGCTCGCATTGATGTGCCATCCTGGATGAGCTGCACTACCTGAGCCACTTGTATGGGTTGTAGACTCAGTCTCATGCTACCACTAGAGTGAAAGCACTGCCAGCATTCAAAAGTGACCAAAACATCAGCCAGGAAGCATAGGAACTGGGAAGTTGTCTGTGGTCCCCACCTGCAGAACCACTCCTTTATTGGGGGTGTTTTGCTAATTGCCTATAATTTCCACCTATTGTCTATCCCATTTGCACAACAGCATGTGAAATTGATTGTCACTCAGTGTTGCTTCCTAAGTGAACAGTTTGATTTCACAGAAGTGTGATTGACTTGGAGTTACATTGTGTTGTTTAAGTGTTCCCTTTATTTTTTTGAGCAGTGTATAATAAAAGTACAGTTGTTGTTCCATAACACAAAGTCTGTAGGCTACAGATCAAACATGTAGATATGTCTGAAGCCTTTGATTTTGCCTTGTGGAAGAATACAGGAATTTTTATGCCTCGAGTGGAGGCTGTCATTGGTTTCCCGTTAGGTTTCATGCAATATACATGATATCTGGATGAGGAGACCTCACAGAAGCCTCCCAGGGACTTGGTGTTGTATGCTAGGAATTGGTTCATTTAAACATTATTTCAGCATTTACTGGGGATTTAAACCACAGTGTAATTAGACACTTTACAAAAGTTCATAGCGGTGATCTATCTCTAGCTCTAGCTCTGTATAATATTAATAACACGAGCCAAATAAACACAAAAAAGCATGAGCCTAAGAGGAGACAATATAAACTGCCCATGCATTAATCTAGCTATGTACCACTCTACAGTCCTAGTGGAGTCTAGCTACTTCTTGAATTAACACGACTAAAAACATAAGTGTAGAAGAAAAGAAAAAGGTAGTCATTTAAGAGTCAGCCTAAAGTATCTATTTGCAGCTCTGGTAATGTCTAGCTAGTTCTTGAATAAACACGACTAAAAACATAAGCATAGAAGGGGAGAAGATAAAGTAGGAATGCATGCATGAGACAAGCTATATATCTATCTACAACACTAGTAGGGTCTAGCTATGCTGGGAATTGACAGAGATACCACCATTCCAGCTGGAGCACAGTGAATCATATGAAAATGTATTTGTGAACAACACAGTAATAACGGCAAAATGCACTGTAACTTAATGTTAAAGAAAGTGCCTTAAGCAGTCAGTGTGAAGCTGAAATTAAGAAGCGTTTGTAGGTGTTTTACTCTTTCCAGGAATATTATGTTCATCTATATATAAATGTAAATATATAAGCATAGAAATATTTATGTATTTGTTTTGTATACAGAGCTTGAAAAAAGACTCATTTATATACATTTAATATACTTAATTTAATATATATTTCTTTTTTTCAGATCTTATCAAATAGCTCCATCTAGTGGTACACAATATGTAGGGCTTGTATGGGAATTCTTTTCAAATGATTTCTATTGTTTTGAATAATAATAATAAAATTACAATTGTACATTTTTGTCAACGTTTTAACAGTCATTATGATATATGAACAGTAACATAATGGCAAGGATCTGATGGTTAGATTATCAATACTATGAGTAACAACTAGTGATGTCGCGAACCCGAAATTTTCGGTTCGCGAACGGCGAACGCGAACTTCCGCAAATGTTCGCGAACCGGCGAACCGCCCGAAACGCCATTGACTTCAATGGGGAGGCGAATTTTAAAACACACAGGGACTCTTTCTGGCCACAATAGGGATGGAAAAGTTGTTTCAAGGGGACCAACACCTGGACTGTGGCATGCCGGAGGGATCCATAGCCGAAACTCCCGTAAGGAATTACAGTTTGATACAGAGTCTGGTTTAATCCATAAAGGGCGAAATCACCCTAACCCATTCCTAAATCACAATCAATATGGATTGACACCTGACATGACATATTGACACCTTGACATATGGATTTGACACCTGTCCTCAGAGCCCTGATACACACTGACACAGAGCAGAATGGGGACTTTGTTTCTACATCGGGTCACTTGGCAGATATGGATTTGACGCTGTTACAAACTGCTATTTTATGCTTGATTTTAAATGGCAGGTGCCCTGTTTCCCTGGGTTGTGGAAGCCTCTTTGCCGGCCTCCTCCCATGACTATGCCCCTGGGGAGATTGTGAAAATGTATGCACTTTTATTTGGGTGTTTATGGCCCTTTTAGACTGTCGGTGGGCATATTGGGGCTTATGGGCTCTTTATGTGACTGGTGCTGGCCCTTTAAACACCTTTTTTGGGACATCAGGAAGATTGGGACACTGCCCCTTTAAGGCCGTGTCCACAGACTTGTTGGGGACACGGCCCCTTTAAGACGGTGTCCCCTGTGTCCCCAGACCTGGTGCAAACCCTTTGTGCCTGCCTTGCTATTTCCCACTTGGTTCAGTAAATGGAAAATTATTTCAGCTGCAGAGACTAAGTCCCATTCGGCGATGGGACTTAGTCTTTTCAACGTTTTCAGCCTTGGCTGGCTGCGGGGAAAGCTGAGTATTCGGCGTGGGACTTAGTCTTTTCAACATATTTCAGCTGCAGAGACTAAGTCCCATTCGGCGATGGGACTTAAAGTACTTCAGCAAGATTTTTCAGCCTTATTTCAGCTGCAGAGACTAAGTCCCATTCGCGATGGGACTTAGTCGTTTTTTCAGCCTGAAATAGACCGACCTCCCAGCCCAAATCTATGGAACTGTTTTGGGCAGGAAAATGTGCTTGCGGTCGGTCATAAAGGGACCTCCAGCTAACTTTTTAACCCCTGGATGGATTTGGCTGATTTTTGGTTATGTTTTATGTTTTAAGTGTGCTGATTCCAAATATGTAATTATGAAGATGGGATGTGTAGTTTTAAAGTTACAGGGTATGGCTAAAAACTGTATTTTTACTGCCTGTGTTTAATTATGTTAATCTCTTCCCCAACGTCATTTCGTTCAAAGTGGAGAGAATGTTAAAAAAATATATTTTTGTTCGGAGTGTGAGAAATGCTTTTCAGCCGCTTCTAATCTTAAGCA